ACATATATTATATATATATCTGAACACATGTACGTATGTAATAGCGTATATACACATTCAGGCACATGCATGCAGCATACACATGATAGTGCATACACACATAACACGTGTGCATACATGCATAGCAGGCACACACGCACAGCACACACGCAGCAGTGACCGTGATGGACAGAGCCCATCAGCACAGAACCCACAGTCCCTGCTCTCCTACCCCCACCCAGAGAGTAAAAACGTGTGGCTTCTCACCGGCTCCCGCCGTGGCACTCGGTCCTTCAGGGAAGGGTGATCGCCCCTTCCTGCTCTGGCGCTTGGAGGCAGCCCCCTGGCCGAGGTCCCTGAGCCACCTCTGCCCGTCCTGGCTCGGCAGGGCTGCTAGGAGCCGTCTTCCACTGCCCCCCACCCAGGCTCAGAGGAGCCTGTCCCTGGAGTCCCAGGAGAACCTTTGCTCCACTCCGTCTGAGAGACAGGAGGGGGAGCCTGAGGTCTAGTGCAGGAGGGTGTCTGCCCCGCAGGCTGGGCGGCCTACAGAGTGTGGGGCACACTTGACCTTTTCACTAACACAAGCCAGTCTATTCTGTGTGTATGAGCCTGTGCACGTGCATGTGTGTGTGTGTGTGCATGCCTGAGTGTGTGTTTCAAGGGGATTCTCACTGGTGGGGACACTCATACCTGGGGGAGGTGAAGATGCGTGTAGCCGACCCCCACCGGCAGATGTGCCCTTAGCTGGTGCCCGGCGGGGTGGCACCTTGAGGCTCATTGAGCCCCACTTCCCACATGGGCCACGTGTGTCAGGGGCAGTCGGCTCTGCCTGCCTGCCTCCAAGGTGATGGCTTCCATTGCTCTGGGGCCTCACGGCAGCTGATACGATACCTGATGGCTGAACACCCCGGATCTGGGTTTAGATTCGAGGACCAGGACCCAGAGGATTTGATCAGGGTTACAGCTTGTGGTGCTGACTGAAAGCAAGAGGGGCCCAAAACATACGTAGGGGTCCAGAGGGCCGCGTCATCAGGGACACCCCATGCCTGGTGGGAAGCAGCCCATGTGGGGGCCACCACCCAGGCCCTTGAACGTGCGCCCCCTTGGGAGGCGGCTCAGCTGCAGGCTCAGCTGGGGAAGGTCTGTTTCCAAGCCCACGTGGGGGTTGACGGGATTAAGCTCCCCGCAAACAGCTGGCTGAGGGCCTCCGTTTCTTGATGTCCGGCCTCTCCAGGGGCAGCTCACAGCCTGGCAGCTTTCTTCACTGAAGCCAGCAGCGGGGGAGCCTGCCAGCGAGATGGAAGCCTCAGCCTCCTGTGGTCTGTGCCCCCTTGCTCCGTTCTGTTAGGTGGTTGCCTGCCCAGCCCCTACTCAAGGGGATGGGGCTCCATGAGGCTGGGTACCGGGAGGCGGGTCGTTGGTGGGCATCGTGGGTTCTGGCCACCACGCTGACTGGCTGACCCCGTCACTGGTCCTTGCTGCCGCCTGCCCAGTGTGGAATACACTGAGGACCAATACGTTGCGTCATTTCTGTTCCCTCCTTTTCCAAATGAGAGTTCTAAAAAATACGGCTCTTCCCTTCGTCCTGTCCACTGCAAATTGTGTATCTGGAGACGGGCCTTCATTTGGCCAGAGGGCACTTGTCTTAAAGGACGTCTCTCCAGACCTGATGGGGAGGGTGCGCACAGCCCACGGTGCCGGGGAGGTGGTCCCTGGGACTGACTGTGGCTTGTCTCTCTTTTGGGGAGGAGAGGGGAGTGCATTCCTGCCGTGAATAACAACGATGGATTTGGGTAGGAACATTTTTAAATCGTGCCTAGAAAAGAAGTGGGTGTCTGGGAGGGTGTAGGATGTCAGGGGGAATGAAGGGCGTCTGCTATGTTTGCCAGTGTGCCTGCCGGCGTCTCCTTCCAATGCCGACACTCCCCGACTGTCCCTTGAGCTCGCCTCTGACCTGGCAGGGACGCCCTCTCACTCTCCAGTCCCTGCCTCTGGCTCCAGGGGAGGGCACGTGACAGCCTGGCCAGCGCGGTCATGGGACTTTTGTCAGTTTTCAGGAAAGGGACGCCCTCTTTTTGCCAGGATTGCTGAATTCATCAGATGTAAACTGGGAACTGCTAGTTACCTGCCTCTTAGTTTACTCAGTGGGAATAAATGCAACGCAGACAGAAGCAGAGATAAGAAACAGGAAAAAAAGAAGCAATCCTGGGGGTAGCCTTTGAAGGTCTCTATGCAGCCATGTCTGGGTGAGAATCACTTCTGGAACTTTCCTGGTATGTGAGTTAGTAAACTCCCTTAAACACATGCATTCACCCCCACACCACCCACCCGCCTACTCCCCGCCGCCCAGCTAGATTCAGCTCGCGTTTCTGTTACTCGGAACCTAAAGCCCTGGCTGATACAATTAAAAATATGCCCAGGAAATGAATCTGCGATCTATGATCTGTAGTGGCACGCAGGGGGCAGTGAGGGGCTGGACGCTCT